CTGCATGCAGGCACCTGTGATGTCTGGTATCTGTTGCTTCTGTAACCTGTTTTAATGTTGTAGGGTTCTGCTGCTTTTGTTATTTTTCCTCCCTCCAATAAACCACGTATGGTGGGGAGCTGGGGCTGGTGCCTGGCTGACTGCTGTGGTCCCAGAGGCAGAGCTGATGGACCGGTGCTGAGTGACCGGGGGAGATGCTGAACTTCTGACTGAGCACTTCTGACTGCAAAGACTGTGCACGTCTTTGCCCAGAGGTGTGACTGGGGCTTCTTCGGCTGCCTGGGATCAACCGTGCCACTACGAGCTGGAGGTGAAGAAGAAATGTCCCCAGGCAGGGCTTCTTCTGACAGTGGCTGCAGGGGAGGGTGGCAGGGGCCTGGGTCAGAAAGCACCCCCCTGTCCTGGGGGCTGCAAAAGCCACCCGGGGTATCTGCTGTAATGGTCAGATGGTCATTCCCTCAACAATGACTTCAGAAACGAGAGTGGAACTGAGTGTGAGCAGAAAGCCTGGGAAACAAAAACTGGAGAAGACAGTCTGGGTCATCCCTGCTGGCTCTCTGAACTTGGTTTTGGTTTTGCCTGTTTACCTGCTCACGGCAGGCATTTCTGGCTCCTTCTCTTTTGTGCACGGAGCGGGTATAAGAAATACCTGTGGTGTATTCCTTTTCCTCTTGGCAGGGTTTTCTGGATGGGCTAGTGTGTACAGAAAGTCAGTAGTCTGCTTCAGGAGCCAGCCCTATGTTGCCTTTTGAGGGAAGGGCTCGCACAGTGCCCCAGGACCTCTTGCACCCTGCTGGCGAGGCTTTGGTCAACCTCAGCCTACTTGTTACCTAGATGATCTACTGAGATGAGTATCTGGGTAATTCGTTAGGTCTTTGTCCCTGTGTGCACACCTGGTTGTGCCTTTCTTTTATTCACTGCGTCTGCTTGCAGAGGCTGGGTCACAGCATAGCTGGCAGTCGGCAGGTGCCGAGAGCAGCCTGTTTAAAATTGGTCAAATGGCTTGTGCATGTGACAAGGTTTTGAGGGAGGTGAGGGTGGCGAGTGACCTTTTTTTCTTGGCAGCTTTGTAAAATAAACAGGAGTTTCAGAAGCACCCCCTGTGTAGTTTTGCATCTCTTTCCAATTGGAATAAAAGACTGGTGAGAGCTTGTGAAAATCTGGATTTTTAGTTGACCTACCTGCTTACCAAAGGGAAAATGGGGATGGAATTCGGCAGTTTCTTACAGAGCTACAGGCTTCCACTTAAAAAAGAAAGTGTAAGTTTCTTGCCCAGTCTATGAATAAATACAAACAAATCCTACAAATACATAACAAATCCTATTGGTTTTTTTTTATACTGGAGTCTGCTAAGGGTCAAATTGGAGCTGTAGGAAACAGCATTGAAGTTAAAATAAGGAAAGTGTCTAGGTTGTTGCCTGCTATTCTGTTTTATGCAGCAGTTAATTTCTTTTATTCTCCCTTCCACATTTGTTTCTCCAGGGAGCTTAGAGCAGTGCAGGGCGTCAGGTGTGGTGGACCCAGAGATCAGCAATTCTCAGAAAAGGGGAAGCTGTGAAGAGTCGGTTTTTGTGGTCTGGGTGATAGAGCTTAAGAGTTGAAGCAGTGAAGTTGGATACTGCTGAGTGGTTGGTAGCTGGGAGTTTGGAGCCTGTCTACAGTAGCCTTGGGTGCCAAAAGCGATAGAAAGTCTCTCTGCTTTCCAAGTGGTATCGGTCCAGCTTGGAAGATGAGACCCATGCAGTATTCGTTCTGGCATTCCCTGCTGTGGTCCACCCTCCAGTTTTCCGGCTTACGTAGCAAATTTGCCAAGCACTTCCCAGGCTAGCAGGTAAGAAGCTGTGATTGTTGTCAAACTGTAAGAGTGCTTTAAATCAGAGCTTTTTTTTTTTTTCCATTTCCCAGAGAGAAAACATGAGTTAATAAAATCTGTCCTTGCAGCTAGTTAAGTACGGTGAAAGTCATGTCCCCGCCATAATCTCTGATCAGCTTTGTTGCAATTTAGTGAAGCATTTAAGTGCTTGTCTCCAAGTTCGTTTGATTTAATCATACTCTGGAGAAATGTCTGCTGAAAAGAGCTGCTGTCTGAATCGGGGCCATGAAACAAATGCACAGCCATGAAATAAATGATGGAGCGGGTACTGGGCTATACACGTCTCTACTGGTTGGAAAACATGGGAGGAGGAAGTTTTTTTTCTCCAGATCATGCGAGAGCCCAGTAGACATCAGGAAAGTGTTAAAGCATAAATTGCTTTGGAGAAAGAACTAAAGCAGCTCTAAAAGGCTGGTGAGTACGGCGGCGAGTGCACAGCCCGGCAGCAGTCTCTACCAGAGAGGCGGGTTGGGGGGCAGGCATGAGAACTCATGTATCTCCATCCCTTGAGAGGTCTACTCACTGAAGTCTCACCGAACATGCTCGGTAGATGCACCGAACATGCCCTGTATGCAGCTACCCAGGCTGTGGATAGTCTCTAGGTTTTTCTCTTTTAATTTTTTATAAATAGCAGAGACTTTCTGAGAGGCTACATTTGATGCTCTATGGGGGACACTGTGTCCTTCGTCAGATACATGCCACATGACTGGGTCCATGGGTAGGGGTCCATGGGTGGGGGTCCATGGGTGGTTACTCCCTAAAGAAGGAAGATGGAGTTTGGCTCATTAGTAACGATCGGGACAAACACATGTCACTTTCCACAAGGCAAAAACCTGGGGCATTTGTTGTTCCTGCACCAATCTGGAGTGCTGCTTTTGTATGTCCTGCTCTTTGGCTGCAGTGATCCCTAGAGACTTCCTTAGCAGCAAAATCCCATAAAAAGCAGTACTGCACAGTACTGCATTCATTTTCAGGGGTCGTGACCCAATCTTGTAGGCATTTGGGCCAGAGAGCAGCAAAAGGCATTTCTGATACCCCAGGCAAGGTTTTTGCTACATTTCAAAAGCTCATTCAATCAGCTGGGGAAAAAAATGCTGCTTCTGAAAAAATGGGGAGGCAACAGGGGAAAAAAATGCAGTCTCTCTGCCTTATATGTGGAAGTAGTTTTCTGGCTCAAAATGTAAGAGAATATTTAAATCAAAGTAGGAAAAAAAAGACAAGTCAAAGAATAAGAGGGGGGCTTTGGCCAAATCATTAGAAACATAGTGGCTTCTAATAGAAAATACTGGGTGACCCCAGGGAATCAGTGTCAGCATCAATTTGTGCAGAAGAATGGAGGTGCGTCTAATTCTGCTGGACTGCTGGCTGCATGGTAGGAGAAACGTTAGCCCTTTCTTTTGCTTGCTTCCTGCAGGGTGGTCTTAAAATCTCTTGATAGCTCTTACCTTAAAATTAAGCAAAGTGCCTAGAAACTGCCAGCAATGCCCTTTCCTTCACCTTTGTCTAGCTGTTTGCCTTTGGATCAGAGCTCCTTATACAAGTTTGGAGAAGATAGGATAAATAGAAACAGACACTGAAAACTCCAGAGTTGGAAATATTTCATCATATTGTTGTGAGTAGCGCAACAAAGCCTTATTAGCGGTGGGGACCTCTCTCTGCTAGCTCAGTGTAAGTAGGATGTGGGATGATTCATCCTGGTGGTCATATCTGTTCTGTTCATCTGAGAAACCTACTTTTATGGTACACTGTGACTAAAAGTTGCTGCATGTGTAGCATCAGTTTGAGGTGAGTTGTACCAGCATGTTTGATCTGCTTGTGTATGGTTCAGTCAAGCCAGATTTTCACAGAGCTGAGTATTAAGGATCTTCAAATAGACCGTGCAAGATTCGGAAAGGAGCCATTGGATCACAGGATGAGCAGTGGGATATGCTCATGGGATTCTCGATGCAAGTTCAGCTGTGGCATATGCACAAGACTAGTTTCAACTCTTCAGTTTTCCAAATTATTTTTGTTGTGGGTCAGAGTTAAGGCTATATAAATGCTAATGTTTCTGTTGAGCGTGTCATAGCTATTATAGTATGTGATTTTCAGGCTTGTTCATACTTGATGTGCTACTTTTTGGTAATCGTGTGCATCAACAGTTCTTCTACACGTTAAAATATTTGAAGGTTGTGTAGGAGTTATGTGCCAGAGGGAGTAAATCTAGCTATGTATATAAGGTAAATTACAAATGTGGATTGTAAGTGCGAGATTCAGGGACATTCCATATCAAAATACTTCACTTGAGTCAAGTGGCCTATTTGAAGAACTCCATTAGCTTGTAGTAATAGCAGGCATTTATCCATTGTATGCATCAGCTACTGGAGGGCTGAAATCAGACACACTTATCCAAGTGATGTACCTACTCCCTCTCAAAAGAAATCCATCCCAACTGTCTGATATCCACTGATATCTGGAGGCTTAAATCAGCCTCCAGACCCTTTTCTTTGCAGGCTGGTATCAACAACAGAATCGTGACCTTTGGTGTCAAACTTACTGGCATCTTTCGTATGAATTGAGAGAGTAACGATGTTAGCAGCCAGCAGTCCAAGACATTGATCTTCAAGCATGAAAGCTGCTTATGGTTCATTTTCTGTTTTGCATTTAGAAACAGAACGTGTTTATGTTTGGGTGTGTGACTGGGGAAGCGTTCAGGTGTCTGTGAGGCTCAGGGGCTTTGGATTGCTATTCTGGCATAGTTTTACGGGTAAACCCATATGGTGAAATCTTGGCCCCGTTAAAGTCAGTGACAAAAAAAATTTCATTGACTATCAGGAATTAAATTGGACCTTGGATTTCAAGGCTGTAGTCTCATGGCTTTTGCAAACTTAACGTGGTTATTTAAAAAAAAAAAACAAACCCCAGAAACCTGCTTGAGAAGATGACTGTAATCTCAAACCCTGCATTCCGGTATTTTTTCATTAGATGAGATTTCTGCTCAAGATTTTTGCCTTACCATGAGCAGATACAGTACTTCCTTGATCAGAGACAGCTCGCTTGCTGGTATTAGTTAGGTAATTTTCAGCATATTAATGTATGTGTAGCAGGGGTCAAACAATAATCCCATCTCATTTCTCTCCCTTTGCAGGCCCTCTACAATTCAATCAAGAATGAGAAGCTGGAATGGGCAGTGTAAGTATACTGCATAGAAATTAGGAGTTTAAAAATAGTACCTGTGTAGTAATCTGTTTATACGTCCTATGTCACCATCTGAGCAGGCTCCAAAGCCTGTAGAAGATAGGCAGTGTATGTAATGAGTTTGCTTTTCTGTTAATGAATGACCTGGCAATGCTGCCTCTTCTGTTTCTCCAGCAAGGGGAGTTGTTAATGATAGGAGCCAACTGCATTTGTAAGGAAAGAGGACGTTTCATTCAGTAGGAAGCTTCAGCCTGAAAAGAGAGAAATTAAATCCTCCGTTGTTCTATGACTGCATAAATAAAACAGAAGTTGACTTCTCCCTTTATCTTTCGGTACATTGTGTCAGAACCACTGAATAGAAACACAAGTCTTGGATTGAGTTTCCTGCTGTTGGTTTATTGTCTTGGTTTGTCTCCTGATTAACTATGGATAACTTGACAACAACCTAATATGAAAGATGATAGATTGGACAAAGTCTGATATCCCCTGTCCTTAGCTGCTTTTGACAGGCTAACACTTGTTAACTGCGGAAATACTGCAGACGAGAAAAAGCTTCAATTGCTGATTGTGTTAAATTGACATTTCTCTGTGCTTAGGTTTTATGTGGTCCAGGTATGCCAGCAAAGAGTAGAAGGGTCTGCTTTAGATTTTGCCACTTGCAGAACTGTGGATTTTGGTGTAAAATAAAAGAATGATGTCTTTTATCTATTTTGGCTGTACAAGGTGTTTCCTGTGTGTATTTACATATCTGAAGCCTCACGTTCCAGAACAATGTATGTCTGGAATGCATGCTCTTGTACCTTTTGTGCTAGAATTTCTAAGAACTGCCTTAGGTCTTTCAGGCCGTTGGCTTCTGTCTTCCTTGTTTTAAGTTCATCATCTGCAAATGAATTCCTTGTCAGCTTCATCCTCACTTACAAGGGCTGCGGGTCCCAACTGGGATTGTAGCCCCTGTTCAGAAGTGTGTTAGATAATGTCAGAGTAGTGAGGAAGGTGTGCCGGTAAAGGGAATCGCCAAGAAGTGCCATCTCTGATGAGCCTCATAAGAAGTGCGGTGGGAGACATTTTCCCAGACTGTGTCTTGGACCTGGAATACGCTGTGTGAATCTTCCATGTCACAACACCAGAGCTGTTTGCAAGACACTCTCTCACAGGTACTTTAGACCCAGCAGAATCCATTATGTGACTTTCTCGATGTCAGAATTTTCCTCCAGTTCTTGGCAACAGACCATACCGTGTCTAATACACTTGGGCAGCCTCCAGGTGGGAACCGGCGCATGCCTGGCTCTGCTCCCATGGGCTTCAGTCAAGGTGGTTTATGAGATAGCTTGCTCCTGTATAGGTAGCAACTGCTTCAGCGTTTACATAGTCCAGTCCATATCCCTTGCTAATGAATTGTTTGGGGAAAAATTGCAAGCAGGCTGGGAAAGAGAGAAATCAGAATCCTCCTTAAATAAGGCTTTGGGATGTGGGTGTAAAGCCACCTTCTCCCAGCAGAGTGCTCAAAGTGGTCAGTTGTCCATTCCAGTCTGAAACTCAGACAGATAGCTGGGACTGATGTGACAATTACTTTCCATGCTGTGAAACAGAGCTCATTCTGGGCATAGTCAAAGAGGTTGTGCCTTTACCCTTAGGGCTGAGAGTGCTGGCTGGAAGAGGGAGCATGAAGATATCTCTCCTCACTTTTGCAGAGAAGTGTCGTTGGTGTAAAGTAATCACCCCAAGGAGCCCCAGGACTGCCTGAGCTAAAGGGAGAACGCATATCACTCTCTTGCTCTGCTGTCGTGATCTGCAGAGAAAGGTGGATAGGAAGGAGACATGGTCGGTTTTGCTGTGACGGGACTGAGGAATATCCTCTCTCCTTGCCAAAGAGTATCCCTTTGCTTCCCTGATGCAGTTGGCAGGGGAAGAAGTGGGAGGTAGGGCAAAGGTAGAAATAGGGCGGCAAAACTCAGCACAAGCTCCCTCGCAATGCTGGCATGTTGAAGGAATGCCTTTCTTCCAGCCAGAACCCTTTGAGGATCTAAGACTCTCTCTTATGAGCTGAGCAACGGTTTAAGAGCTTCTCTGGCAGTACATTATTTGGTGGATTAATGACTGTCAGTAAGTCCATAGGCAGGAGCGGGTAACAGCGATACGTAAGATGAGGGAAGACTGCTACGTGATCCTTATCTTATTAGTAGCGATCTAGGTGTGTCATCATACTAAATGGTTTGCTATCCATTTCCAGTAGAATTACAGTCTGATCCAAAGCCCACAGAAAGAAAAGGCTGGCATTGATTCCAATTTTGTAGTCAAGAGAAGTGGCACCTTAATCAGCAGATGTGCTCCAGAGACTTTCAGTAGGAATATTCATTTATCCTTTATGAACAGGGAAGCATGAGTACAGCTCTGGAAGAGAGAATTGCATTACAGTTCTTTTTCTGCAGTAGTTCCAGGTTGAAGTTCTCCTAAAGGTTAAAAGCAAATCACATACCATGATCTGCAAAATAAACATATCTGACCTCGAAGTTACCCTGAACTGGTGAATATGGGATCCTGAATGCACACTCCTACTCCACACTGCACCCCCTTTTTGGTTACTTTTCACAATAGAACTGCCAGAATATGTTCTGCCATTTACTTGGTGTGTCATTTACTTTGCTTGCTGTTTCCTCTTGCCTGCCTTGTGTTGTTCAGTGTCCTGGGAGAAAAGAGAAAAGCAGTATGGGAAAACTAACCATCAGAAATACGATTATTCTGTCTTTTGTCCGTTCCGTATTTCCTCTCTACTGCTTACAGTTCTAGATCTCTCCTGTCTGTTGGACTGTGGTTCATTTCTTTGAACAGCAAGTGAAGCACCAAGTAGTGATTGGACCTCACTGAAGTCATTGGCAGAAGTTCCTACTGACTGCAGTGAAGCCACGCTGTTTCATCCAGTTAGTCCAATGCATCCTGTTTTCAATGTGCTGAGATCACTGGAACCACCCCAGCAGTGTATGTAGCCCCAATAATTGTGTTGTAATTTCTCATGCTGCTTAAATTTCCCTGAGGGACTTGATATTTCCATGAGATTTTTTCATACTCGAATGGTAAACTCTTGTTCTTCAACCCTGACGTTACCCGTAAGATGAAATGAATTCAAGATCCTGTGAATGTGAGCGGTGAGATTAGAAGAGTTGGGTTTCTTTAGGTGGAAAAGGCAGCACTGAGGAGAGGGACCCGAGTGTATTTTTTTCAGTGTGTAAAGGCTGTTGCAGAAGAGAAGGGTGTGAATTATTCTTCACACCCATTGTGTATGGGCTTAAATTTGAAACAAGGGAAGTTTGGATTAAACATTAAAAAAAGCTTTCTAGCAATAAGCCTTTTAAACCAGGGCATAGATTTGTCTGGACAAGCTATGGGAGTGCTTTCACTGAAGGTTTTTGTGAACTGGTTATTCTGTCCAGAATGGGTTAGGAAGAGTGGATCCAGCCTTAGAGGTAGAGAGATAGATTAGCTGACTGCTTAACATCCCTTCAGTCCCATTGTCTATAATATTATGGACCAGGTTTTTTAGATGTTTCTTATCCTTTGGCTTTTGCACCGATTGTCATCAGTTTTAAGCTGAAGAAGAAAAATTAATTTGATTTCAAAGGCGCCAGAGCTAAATATGTTTTGTTTGCCTGATGTCTACATGGAAATGTAGTGAACATTATTGTTCTCCATTGTTTGTAATATTATGTCTACTTCCGGTTGAAGGTGATGGGAATAATAAAATCATCATCTTAAAATAGTCTGAATGGTGATCTAGAATTAACGTGAAATACCAAAGTGCTCTTACAAAATTGCAAAACCCAAATGGCTGCATTTAAGCCAGCTGTATCCTGAAAGCTTTCTCTCAGCAGGACAGTGTAGTTTTCAGGAGAATCACTTGTTTTTTGACTAGTTGATGATACAGTTTTCTTTCCAGAGAAGTTTAGATATGGACACAGTATATTCTTTTTTGTTTTTCTGGACCTCACTTAAAAATTGTCTCCTTCCAGCCAAACCAAAATAGGTCTTTGAGACAGTGATGGTGGGAAAGGGCCTCTGCCAAATCCTTTCTGTGTTTCCTGCAGCAAACTGTGACGCTGAGACTGGGGTGGTTATAAAGACGTTTGTGTTGAAGCTCACCTTTTTCTAGGTCAAACCCAGAAATCTCTCCCGTTATAATTAACTCTTCGTCTCCCAAGTTCTAGGATGTTTCCTGTTTGCAACTTCATGACTGATTTTAGAGAGGGGTCAGGTGGTAATCACCTGGCTCTCCTTTCTTCTCTCCTCCCTTTGGGAAAGATGCCAAAACTTCTCTCTACTGGTTTCTCAAGTCAATTTCCTCATACAGATGCTATCAGTTCCACAAATTCATATAATTATATGTTACAAATCTGATTTTTTTTTAAATGCCAATTTTTAAATGGATAAACCCAGCCTTTTGCCATGTCATGTAAGTTTTCTATTTTAACAAATGCAAAGACAAAGCAGACTTAAAAATGAAGGGCTTGACCCTGTCTTTCCAGCTTAGTGGCTTCAAAGTTTTCCATGGCAGAGCCTCAAATCAGACTGTAGAGTGTACAGAAATGTTTTTGTTACTGAGAGAACTGGATGGTGGTTTTCTCCCAGAAGACAAAACTGGGACTTTCTTGTATAGGGTCTTTTTGGGGAGAGGCAAAAATATATTTCTTCACCAAAATGGCAACATCTGCGTTTTTGCATGTGTTTCAAATCTGTGTGTTTAAGAATAAGAGGCAAACTCTTTCTGATTGTCAGTGATCATGCATTTGAGATGAAAAACATTGCTGTTTCAATGCTGTGTCTTCAAGGGATAGAGCAAGCAGATTCTGGCTTTGGTGTGCTGGTTCTCATGGGCAGCCAGTGCCCTGGTTATGGCTCTGTCTGCAGGTCCTTTTCCAAAAAGACAAGCTAAGGGAGGTGGAACTGAAGCTCCTTGTTTTCGGAAACCCTGCAAATACCACATGCCGTAAGCAGGGTCTTGGAGAACCTCTACAGGTGGTAGCCTTTTTTTGTCACTAGTACCCTGCAGAGCAGAGACTCTAGTAGGTCCCACTTTCTGTGGATGGAACAAGACTGTTCACAGCCATCAGCCCCTTTCAGTCATCAGAGAGGAGTCACCAGAGGAATCACTTCCAGACCCAGAGCCAGGAATGATCTCCCTCTGCTGATCAAAGACAGAAAATCTTTAAGACTTCTGCAGATCTAAGTGGACCCTCATGATGATGTTTTGCTCCTGAAATGTGTGTTGGAACCAACGTGGGTTTTTTTCTCCAAAGGGACAAGGATTCTGCTATTTCCTGTACTAAATGGAAAGGAGAGGCACCGAGCCTGCCCCTGACAAGGACCTGAGCTCTGCCTGTTTGACACTAGATCCATGACTGAACATACCTGCACAGAAACACCACCCGCTGACTCTTCCCTCCGCATCACTGGAGGCCTTCATGCGGGGGACGTTACAGGACTTGAATCATCTGTGAGAGCCGTCTGAGGATGAGGAAGTGGTTGCACCCCCCGCAGGCTAGGGTTTCAAACAGAGATCAGTTTTCAGGTCTACGTGTCCAGGGGCCAGCTGAATTTTCTGCAGCTCTTCCTTCTTGCAACTGTACCCTAAAGGCTGGTGAAGAGTAAGCTCAGATTGTTACATCCTTGATAAAGCCTGTCTGGGACCTATCTATTCAGCCAGCTTTGGAGGGTGTGTAAGCAAAGGCTAATACCTGAGCTGTTTTACTACTTTGAAACTCCTCCCAATCATCGTGCTTTCTTCTTATGCTTGACCACTCAAACAACATGGAGTATTTGAAGAATTGGGTCCCAGATTCCCTGGTTTTATTTCCACTGGTGTTTCATATTCAAGATCAGAGGGAGACAGAGGCTCCTTTTAGTTCTGTTCTGTCGGCTGTTCATCCATTTCTTGTTCTGTGTAATGAGTCCCCCTTGCCTCTCTGGCTCCCTTCATTGCATCTTACAGACTGGCTCGTGCATCTTGGCCTCATGCATCTTGTCAGAGCACTCAGCTCTCACAAGTGCCTGAGGCTTCTGAATCTCAAGGATGTCCCATTTTCAGTGGCAGATTAAAGGACCAATTAAAAGTTTGTTCAATGCTACCAGTAGTCATGACAGCAGATGCCATTTTGTCTTTGTCTGCCCTGTCTGCATTTGTCTTTTGAAGAATTTCTGTTTAATAGCTGCCCCAGAGATGCTGTGAGTTTGAGAGCACTGCCCCCACCACTACTGGTGTTCAGGATCCCCAGGATTGCTCATCAGAACACCTGTGGCTGCTCGGATGAGGGCACTGGTACATTCCCACAGGACAGTTGATCCAGTATAAGGTAATTCGCTCCCATAGCTCCAGAGCACATTGCTTATTCAAAAAAAAATGCTAAGCCATTTACTGCACTAGGTCTCTGCTGACAAGGAGAAATCCCCTGTGTCCTTGGCTGAGATCCCAGAATTCACAAGGCACTTCTATGTGACAAATCAGCCTGAGTGCTTGTGCCCTATGAGAGATTTTAGTCTGGATTAGGTACCACAGACTTGTGTTGAGAGAATTTGCTCCTGGAATGGACACATACCTAAGAAACACGTGTCATCAATGGTCCAGGCTTGCCAGCAGCTAGTAGGTGCGGTGGGCACAGGAAGGGTGGGGACAAACAAAATTGTCAGAAATTCCTACACTTTTTCAATTGGGAGAGGGCTTCAACCAAAGCATGCATGCATTGAGCAACAATAAGTTTTTTGCAGATCTCTGTTTTGCAGTGGGAAAACAGGTTTCAATAGGCTGACGGATGCAAGGATTGCTCTCCCTTGCAGAAATCAGGTCTTCAGGTAAAAGATTTGTTCCTCTTAATCAGGAGACCTTGCAAGACAACACCATGATGGTATGGTGCACCACCTTGACTGTATCTCTACAACTAAATGAAATGTCTGGCACTTTTGTGTGACTCTTGGGCAGAATGTCGATGTCTAGCATCCGTATCCATACTGTTGAAAAGTCTTACCCTCCAAAAGAAGATGCTTGCCTCTGTGCTGCCTGTTGGGGTGGTACTTGACTGTGCTGATTCCTAAACAATGTCTGGAAATTGTTTGGGAGTGTGCTGGGCTGAGACCACGCCAAGCACAAAGTAATATGAGGTGATCAAAGTAAAATGCCTGGGAACATTCCTTGGCACTGCTGAGTTCACTAATATAGCCTCCGTGTCTCCGGATTTGGTTTCCTTGTTCTCAAACCAGTCTATTATCCTTGTATCTCCTCAGACTAAGTTATTCCCCAGAAGACCATTTCAGCAGAGATCAGGATAACACAGATTTGTTGCTCTAGCCTGCAGTTCTTGGAGGACATTTCTTTGGATGGTCGTTCCCATAAGCAGACATGGTTGCAGTGTGCCCCAAAAGGAGCTTTTGGACCGACATGTGCCTTGCTAATCCTCATCTGATACACGCCTTTGAACGTATGCATGTGATTGGAAGGTCTGCCTGAGCTTGCTCTCTCTGCTGGTCATCTGGGTCCAGTGAGATACAGCAGCTTGAAGTCGTCCCCCCCGCCATTAGCCATCATTACACTCAAGTGATAATGATTTTTTTTTATATCAGGTGCTGGTCTTAGGAGAAGCATTGCTACCATACTTCCCAATGACAGCCTTCATCCTCCCTGACACACCTTTCCCAGTCACCTGGAGGGGAATGTGTGGGGACTTCAAAGGACACAGGGCTGCTCTGTAATCTGACACTAACTGTGGTTCCTCCAGATACACCATCCACCCAGATTCAGTGGCCTATTGTTCTCTGAAAACCATCGTCCTACTCTTGTGATGGACCCCCTTTGTTTTCTAGGTTGCCTGGTCCTTTTTGCCTTTGGCTGTGGCAGGCAAAAAGGCATTTATTAGTCAGGCAATGCTTGCGACTTGCTGAAATGGGTTACATTGTTGTCCCCAAGAGCTGTGTTGAATACATTGCCCTAATAAGTAACATTTTGAGCAGCATTTTGTTTCTAAAATACAGATAACATAATTCACCTAGTGTAGTTTTCATTTTTAAATTACTACTTTTATGCTAGTCCGCAGAGGAAAATAAAGAAAAGGAAGTAGAGTCTGTGTTTCATATGCTAAGTTTAAGGGGTAAGCCACAGTGATCTGTGGTAATCTAATTCTTTTCATCTACTTGTGAACTCATGAAGAAATTGGAGATTTTTCATGAAAGCCCAGCAGGCAAATATTTCCCATTTTAGCACTCAAGTAAGTGGAATTAAAAATAGGTGAAGTTGGAGGAAACAGAACACTCTTGAAATCCTGCCTTTTGAGGCTGTAAGAGGGAAACTTGGGCTTTTTTGAAAATCCGGCTCCTATGTCCTGTGCTGGTGAAGTAGGTGAACTGAAGCTTTGCTATAATCCGACTATGTTTTGGTGTATGTCTGGGTTTCTCTCTAAATAGGGCCTCCTATAAAGAGAGACGTATGTTTTGACAAGGAGCGTGCAAGAAGTACTGAAATGAAACTTCGCTGGTCAGTCACTCATTCGTGCTTGGTTTTCACTGCTTTTTAAGGGATGAAGAAGAGAAAAAAAAGTCTCACTCAGATGGTACAGATGAAAAGGATAATGGGAGCCAGACGAAGGCTGTCAGTCGAATTGGCAACTCAAATAACCCATTCCTGGACATCCCTCATGACCCCAATGCTGCTGTGTATAAAACTGGATTTCTGGCTCGGAAAAGCCATGCAGATATGGATGGAAAGAAAAGTGAGTATCTTTCACTCTTAATGTCTCATTTTCGTGTTATCTCTGCACAATGCCACTTACGATGAGCCCATGTGCTTCTCAAGCCAAATAGTGCTGCTTCATTAGGGGAAATTGCAGCAATAACAAACAATGCAGCAATTGGATTATCACACTCTCACTATTAGGCCAGGATTTACAACATTCAGTCCCATTTGCAGCAGCTCTAATGTATGAGCATCATGAGTAATGTGGAACAGCAAAGCAATGTAAATCTTTTGTGCTAAAAGAAAATGAATCTCGTGGTTTACAGAAGAGAAAACAATTTCAAGTGAATTACAGTAGCTGTTCCGTAGTAGTTTGGTAATTCTCCTTTTCCTTATGTGACACCGGATTGTTTCAAATCTCCCTTCCCCTTTGGGTCTGTCTTTAAAGAAAGGCTGTTCTTTATCTCTACTTGGAAGATGCAAAGTTCCGTTCCCTACTTTCCCAGCCTTGGGTCACATACCCAATGAAGTTCAGCTTTTGGTAACAGCCAGATTTATGCCATGCAGTCCTTCCTTGCCCCTGCTTGGTAATAATCCTGCTGTGTCTCTTACCTTAATTATCCTCTCTCCTTCTTGTCCTACTTCTGTTTGTGGTGCACTCATTATGGAAGGCTTCTGATTCGCCTGTGTGTGTTTTGTTGTTTGGACATCTTCATTTGTTTGTTTTCTATTGATGTTCTTGGAAACAGCAGAGGCTACTCAGAGCATCTGTATTTTCCCTGATTATTGTTGATCATCACCTACTCATGGTTCACACTATTGGGCTGAATCCTGAAGGCAAAGTCTGACTTTGTGATGGGTTTCCGGTAACTGCAACTCTCTCCTAGCTGGACTAAGCTCTTTGGTGTTCGCATGTTTTGCTAGTATCTTTTAGAAGGTACAATTGGAGGTTGGTGTGTTCAAGCTGGTGGCTGACAGCTGGACAACTAAATCCAAACAGAGATGTCGAAATCAAACTGACCTCATTCTTTGGGATGACTGGATGCTCCGAATAGGTTCCTCTTTAATAAACTTCTCTTCGTTTAACCTTAATAAATAATTGTATCTAGTTGCCTTTAGTAAATTATTTCTTTAATTATAAGTAATCAGAATTGCTTATTATTCAGCACACTGGATGTTGGCATTTTGGGGATAATCCTTTTATGAATAATGTAATTAGGGCCATGTTTTCAGAAGTTTCTGTCTCTCGTTGTCACGCAGCTCTTGAAAAAGTTATGTTCTGACTTTCCTGTTGCAAATAAAACGAAACTCTTTTTTTTAAAGTTAGTTAGACCTTTTCATATTTCGTTTCCTAATCGACTTGTTGCAGGGCAGAGATCAGCTTGTGTGGGATTGCTAATGAAGTGATGTGCTAGCATGCTATATGTATTTTCTCAGGAAAGGAGTACTGAGGGCTAAAGCGCTTAGGCAGTCTAGAGGGGAAAGATGTAACAGGGGCCAATGACTGGAAGCTGAACCGAACAAATGCCAATTAGAAATAAGGCCCGTTGTGTGAGATGAGAATGATTAACCTCTGGAGCAAGGGACTAATAACCTCTTCACCATCACTTGCTGCCTTCACATCAGAATGGGATGCCTTTCTGAGGATGATGCTTTAGTCGTGCACGGGTTATTAATTTCAGTATAGAGGCAAGTGGATGCTGGTCAATGGTGCATGCTTGGTGGAGAGTGAGCTTAGATGCAGGCATCTGGTCTCTGGCACTGTGACTGTACAGCCTGTGCCTTGTCTCCCTCTGTTGCAGCTGAATTTCAAACTGGAGCCTTCATGCTGAATCCCCTTTTTTTTTTTCCTTTTCTTCCTCCCCCCCATTGCTTGTTTCTAGGAATTTGTGGGCTGAGTATGTGGTCTCTGTTACGTTCTTCAGTCTCTAGCTGACTTTATGTTTCTTGAGAGGTGATTTTTTTTTTTTCCCTTAGGATTTTGTCTGGCTCCCCTCTCCTTTCTCTTCTTTGGCTTCCCCTACGGCTGCAGGAAGCGGGGAAGGGACCAAGAAGCCATCTGACTACTCAGTGCCAGCTCGGATGTGCAGCAGTGGCAAGGGGGAAGGATGCTCTTGAGAAGCATTGCTTTCTGAGCAGTGTCCCATTGGTCCTGAGCAGTGCCTGCCTGCCTGCTGTGGCATGGAGAATGGGTGTTTTCTTCTGAAAACTGTGCCATGGCGCAGAGCTCAGACCTAGCTGTGTAGGGGCAGTGTCCACCTACCTGCAAGAACACAAAGACTGGGTCCCTCTGGCCTGCTTTCTGCATTGCTGCTGTTCCCTTCTGATCCAGTCCAGGGCTGTCGTCAGGGTTGTTTTATTACTCTCTCACACAGCAGGTATGTGCAGGCACTGTGCTGAGTTGCATTGTCCTTTGAAAAGGAGAGTACAAAGGAGGTTTAACAGAGGACTAATGTAGCTCTCCTGTTGCCTAGACAAAGTGTAAAAATGGATCCAAGTTAAATGGGTTTTCATTTGTTTTCTTTGCAGCTCCCCGGGGAAAGCGAGGCTGGAAAACCTTTTATGCTGTGCTGAAGGGAACGGTCCTGTACTTGCAGAAGGTAGGGGAAATCACTGTCTTTTGGAAACTAATTAAAGAGGGATAAAGCAGCAGGCATCCTCTCTGCCCTCTCAAGCCCTCCTCCAGGCTCCTTTCCCTCCGACACACAGTGTACCTGCTCTCTCTGCCCCCCACCCTGTTTACACACACATTCAGGCATGAATCCTTTCATTGACACCCTCCCCCTTTTCACACTTTCAAGTTCAGTTCCATTGTCCCCATCCACATGTGCACCCTATCAATTCCAGTTTATACCATTGCTGTCACTCATGGCTGAAAAAATAGCCAGCTTCACCAGCAAAGACGGCATCATCTCTCTGTGTCTTGCATGCATTCCTCTAGGCTTCTTTTAACATTGCATTTCATATGTATGACTTCCCCTCCTGTAAGGCTGTCCTCCTTTCCCAACTTTTTATAGTATACTTTTCTGCAATGCTTGCAAGGCCAACTGCAAAACAATTGAACAACAGCTTGGCCTTGGTAGGAATCTGCAGCTTCTGCTCTATAGCAAAATTGAAGGGTAAAAGGATACTTTTTCTTTTCCCCCAAAGCAAGATGAGACACTGGTTTCTAACAAACTTTGCTCCCTGACAGCAAGAAGTCTAAAAAAAATGTCAGCTGAAACCCTTCAAGTCTGTTGGCGCAAGCTTAAATATGTTGTAGTACAATTTAAACTATTCTCTTGGAACGTGAAATGCAACATATGAGTGAGAACTGTCAAAATCAAATAAATGGTGGCAGCTAAGTAGATTGTTAAGGCTTTTTGCCCGCCAGCATAGCTGAAATGTTAATGAAATAGGTGGTGTTTGTCCAGACTGCCCTGTATTGTAGAAGTATGCTCCTTTGAAAGCCTTTTTACATTTCCACTATGTTTTGCAACTATCAGGAGCGCAAGTTCAAGTGCATGCTGCTGTTTCCTCCTCCCCTGCTGTGACTTTCTGAAGTTGTTGGTTTCATTGGAGCCAACCTGGATAGTCTCTGAGAAGAGAGAGTGTGGGTTGGATGAAATTCTTACAGCATGAGGTTTACAAAGTGGATGCTTTGGGTGCGGTACCTTTTTGAGAGGGCTGAAATCCTGAAACAGACAAAATTTGCAGTCAGGAAGGAAGATTTGGGCTGGAAGTTGGATGTGACATGCTCAAAGCCAGTGCAAGGGACTAGAACCAAGTCTGCTGAGCCGTCCCTCTGGTCGTCTTGCTGGCAGCAGGTTCAGATTTTACTAAAGTGGCCTTCATGGCAGGTTTGTACTTGCCCTTTCCTGGGTGAAATGGAGTTACCTGCTTTGATTCCTGAAATAAGTAATCTTTAGTGTTCACCTGAAAAAACTGCATGGTTCCCTAAGTAAGAAGGCTCCTTGTCCATAACACATTAATTAATTTTTATTTGATCTTTGGGGGGGGGGCGGTAATAAGCTTTCAAGGAGAAGAAGTGGAGCTGCCGTCTGTTTTAGTCTTAATTAGATACTTTTATGAGTATCACTGGCGTATTAGTTTAAAACACTTTCTGTTTGACAAAATATAGAGATGCTGATGTAGCATGCAAATGTTCTACAGAATGTTGCTCTCCCCACTCTCACCCTCCATCCTTTGGAGAGCAAGAGAGTAATTTCACATCTGACTGCGTCTTTGCAGAATGAAGCGCATTGCTGAAGTTCTTGTTCTTATTTGTTTTTCGTGTGTCTTGCACTTGTGACAGCACTTGAATTCAGTGGCTACAGGGTGGTTCCTCCGCAAAGCTGCACTCTCCCACTTGGTCCTGAAGACACTTGCACTGAAGCCATCTTAGCACAGTGTCACTGTAGCACAGTGACAAGCAAGACTTTTGCTTTAGCACCATGAAAGGTTGACAGAAGGTCCTGATGGGAAGTGACTCATTCCCAGAGTGATGGGGCAGCTGTGAGCCTCCCCAGGGTGCCTCTGGCCCCTGCTCAGCCACAGTGCCTCATGCTGCAGCTGTGAAACATGCTCCGATTTCTCTTCAGCTCCAGAAGGTCCAGCAGGGCTTTGCTTCAGCCCTGAAATAAACTTTGCTCTGTTAGGGACGTGGTATCACAGAAGTTGAAGGTGCCAGGGTTTTAAAATACATAGCTAGACCAAGCTGTTACAGTAAAAGTTGCTGAGCTGTTGTTTCCTTCTGCAATATACCAGGACACTGAAGTTATCCTAATTTCAGAAAGTTCAGGAGCATTTTAGAACAGCTTGATTTCTTTGTAGAAATGCATAGCTCTGGCAGTAGTCATGGGCAAAGGATTTCCTTGCCTCTGTTTGCCTTCTCTCCTGATTATGGAGTGCTATAGGGCAGGGTTCATCACATATGCACGCACACATTTTCCCTCTTTCTCTCATTAGCTGTATATTACTATGTATTTGTGGAGGTAACATCTGTGATGATGGTTTCATTGCACTGAGTGCTATTCAAGCAGAGGAGAGAGAAATCTCACTGTTCTACGTGCTGTATGCACACAAACACATGTGCAAACCTCTGTACTATTGCTTTCTGTGTTTATCTGTTACTCAGCTGTTCCCTGAAGACACTACTGTAATAGAAATATTAATTGTTTGTAGCAGCTGTGATTCCCCCAGTGGGCAGTGTGATCTAAATTTTGCTGTCATTCTGTTTGCATACCAGTCCAGTTCTCCTTGTTTTGATGTCAAAAGTCCAGGTATGAGAGTGGTTTGTAAATGGTGGTCACTTGAGATGTACTGGGGAGTTTATCTGGGCAGTCTTGTCTCTGTGCCCACATTTTATTATTTTTTTTCCATTGGAACTGCTCCAGTGCTAATTCCTGTGCTGCATATTGTTTTATTTTTAAATGAGTGATTTAAGAGAGATGGTTTCTGAGTTAGTGAGCACCGGAGGGGTTCAGTGGAAGCGTTCACAATTAGCCAACTAAACATGCCTGTACAATATTATATAAAATGAGAGGTTTGACACGTTTGGGATGTTGGCCCTGTCTCTGGGCATCCTCAGGCCAAGGTTAATTTCCTGCCCTCTGTTCATAGCAAGAGCAAACTGCAGAGTAGGAGCTTGACAGAATGTCTGTTCACCAGACTGACATAGGATGTGATGTGCGTTCAGAAGAGAGGTTTATAAGGAGAGGATGTAAGGCTGACCTCGCTTCCTTGCTGGAAATTGCTTCTGGGCAAGCAGTGTGGGACATGGACCTTTGTGTTTTGTTTGGACTCTTCTGTGAGGTTTGCAAGATCTCTGCTCTTTGATGTGGCACTTTACAATCTTGTGGGCTTTCAGGTATTTTTATATAACTTTTCTCAAATGTGTTTCCTCTATTAAAATATTAAAAAAAAAAAAAAAGAGAGAAAGGCCAGAATGATGTAAAGTGTTTGGTGACGAGGCTTTCTGAAAGAGAATTTTGCAGCTGTCACATGCAACTGAGTGGAGATATCCACCCACGGTCCATTGACTGATGAAAAGCCAAATGCCATTCTCTGGTCTATCAAAAATGGATTTAGAAACATGCTGACTCTGGGTCAGCAGGATGTGGGAAAGTCATTCTCCAGGAGTCTGAGAAAGATGAATTCAGCATGTCATTGTGTTTAGCACTCACATCAGCCTTCAGTTGAAAGAGAGGTCACAGTTCCTTTCTAGCTCCTTATATGTTTCTTGACGCTGTCTTGGTCTAACTTTAGAGACCTGCCTTCCATTTCAGCTCAACCTCCACGCTGATGCCAGCGCATCAGAGCACGTGCTCTCCTTGATGGCATAGGAGATACGGATGTTCCTGCTCTCCTAGCATTCCCTGCCGGTTGAAAACAGTTGGAGGCCTTAGAGGAGGAATTTTGACAGCACATTCACGTCCTTCCAGGTTTCTCTGAGGCTGGCCAATTATGTGGAGACATTTCCGGAATGCTGATCCCCAGCTGTCACGGTAGATTGCAGCCAGCTGATCCGGTGGGATTAGCAAGGATTATCGTGAATGCTCTCTGTCGGAGGGTGTTCTCAGCCAGGACTGCTTCTGGGACTGCCCAAATGCAGAGTTCTTCTGGAACAGGTTTAGACACTGGAGCGGGTTGTGGACGTTGGATGCGTCTCACAGAGGAAGCTGGGAGGCAACCGACAAGGCGATAGCTGACACTGTCTCTAGGCAGTAACTTGAGGAAAGCCAGAATACCATGTCTATGTTCATTTCCTGGCCTTGAAGTTTTCCCAGTCTCCCTGGGCAGTGGAGCCAGTCATTTCCCCCTGGACTACCACCAAATAAATAAGCTTTTGAACTCGTGAAGGAAAGGGCTTGACCTGGGGGCTTGCTTCCTCCATCTTCAAGATAGGGCTGGGCCAGATGTTGGACAGCCTCCTCCAGTTCTTGTCCTTCAGATAGTGACTTTCCCAAATCTTCCTTGAAGAAGGTTTAGAGAGTGCCCTAAGTGGGAGTAGGCAAAGTCCATCATGATACGGAGATCCCTCCAAAGCTTGCTGCGACTCAAGTTATTAGAGAGGAAGGACATTTGGCTTCACTCACTACCAGACCTTGAAAACCCTTTATGTCACAGATGTTTAGGTTGAAGGCTACCCTTTGGTCATCTGTGCAGCAGTGCTCTGCCTTTCTGTTAGGCCTGCCAGATCTGTGGTGGGTTGTGCCCTTGTCTGGCCCCAGGTGGAGGTGATGCTCCGACAGTATTGCTGGTTAGCTGCATCTCCTCTGTTGAAGTGTCTGAGCAGCAGCAAGTTCTGGGCCTGCACTATCTGGACCTCTGTGAGGAAGGATGAGACGTGGCAGAGGAGCGGGACGCTTTGTCCTCCCTTCTGGGAGGTGGTCACCACAGCTGGTCCCCATCCATTGAAACTCATCCTGGAGAGCCCCGACCAAACCCAGCCTGGCGGAGAGCACAGATGCCTTTGGCAGGGCAGTAGTTGCCTCTGGTTGCAACCCTGATCTGTGTGCTGCCAGATAAGCCCTGTAAACCAATTCATGCACATTAACCAGCTCTTCTCCAGGGCTGGTGCCTCTCTGGGTGTTTATGCTAATGCTGTCCCTGCACATGCTCTGCGTCCTGCGCTCTGTTGTCTGCTAAACCCCATCTCATAACTCTTGTGTTCAAGTGGAGGGACCAGTAGTTATCACGCCTGCAGGGAATTGTTCCTCTGTTATGCAGCCGTCACACCCCCTCCCTTGGTGGTTGTTTCAGATGAGACTGATTTCTGTGATGTACTAAGGGGGAGAAATGGAGTCAATTGCAGACTGCTTTGGCCTCTCCTTCAGAAACTTTGCTTGTGCAGCATTATGACTTTTCCTTGAAAAAGCTCCTGTTTTCCCAAGCTGTTTATAGTCAGGTGGGCTTTAAACTGAACTTGTGGCTGCACTGTGATTGTGCCCTCATCCAGCTTCTATCACTCAGGAGATCAAAGACTGCTCCCAGGCTGACGCTTGCAACACAGAGGAGTTTGACTCTCTGCTCTTGTCATTTGGTGTTAGGAGTGGTACTGTTGTTGTGTCAAAAACCTGCACGGTGCTGTGCTTGCCATTTGCAGACCCTGAGCAGAGAGATTTAAAGGAGGTTGCTATATTTGTTTTGTGGAGACTGATAAGGAGGCTTCTCCGCTGTGTGAGGGCCTGCCTAGGAGGACGTACAACAGTAATTGTTCGAGAAAAATAAAAATCGAGCAGTGGAGGCTGAGAACCCAAGCAGGAACCAGCAGCTGAGCAGTAGAGGTGAGGAGCTGGCCATGAAGGATTCCTAAGCTGAAGACAAATAGTTCACAGCTGTTGTGGTAGTCAGATACTCTCTGTTTACCCCTCTTCCTGTCAAGCAAGTAGTGGAACTACTTCTCTCCCTTACAGAGATCAAAAAAGAGAAAGAGAAAGGAAAATATATTAAAGGTAGTGGAAACCGCAAGTACTCAAGTCAGGTTGCATTCAGTTCATATACTTTAATACTATTCATGACTATGGAAGAAGGTTTTTCCCTAGGTTAAGGAAAAAGGAGTAGCACATGGAGAAGTAAGATGCCATTTTTCCCCTGTTAACTCCTGCAGGATGAATATAAACCAGAAAAGGCTTTGTCGGAGGAAGATCTGAAGAATGCAGTTAGTGTGCATCATGCGCTGGCATCCAAGGCAACAGACTATGAGAAGAAACCCAATGTCCTCAAACTTAAAACAGCAGATTGGAGGGTCCTGCTTTTCCAAGCCCAGTAAGTGCTTTCCTCTCATTTGTGCCAATCGTTGAGGAAAGAAAGCAATGCTGAAGGAGTGGTAAATTCATGGCTGGACAGGTTAAAGCAGAGGCTTAAGAGGTTCAATCTGTTTATTTGATCAGAAATAAGATTAAGCAGTGATTTGATTAGAATGCACAAGTAGTTCATGAGAAGAAACATCAGGTTCTAAGAGGCTTTTTAATCTAGCTGAGAAGGGCATAACAAGATGCAGCAGCTGGAAGCTGAAGCTGCAGGAAATTCAATTTGGAAACAAAGAACAAACTTTTAACAGTCAGGGTGATTAATCATTGAAACAAATGACCAAAGGCAGTCTTGGATTGTCTGTCTCCTGATGTCAGCAGGTCCTAGCCGGATGTGTTTCTAGAAGATATGCTTTGGTCAGAAACTAAGTTACTATTTAATACAATAATAATTTGATTAAGGTCTTCAGGCTGTGGTATCCAGACAGAACAGATGACCTGCCTTTTGCTTCTGACATTAAAAACCTGTGCATCAGTCTTGTGCATGAGCCCTTTTCTACTGAGATCCATGTGAAACCTCCTAGAGATGTGTGGTGCCCAGCACAGCTGAGACCTTAGGACATACTTCTGAATCAGGGCATCGGTTGGCTCTGTCGCCTGTGTCATTTGGATTGGATTAGGACAAGAAGCGTGCTAGGGCGAGTTACGGACCTAATCACGAGCCAGCCTGTGACTGAGATACCTGACACTAACCACTTCCAAAGATAGACCAGAAGACTGGGCAGACTCTAAGACTTGTCCAGTTCTGGTTATTCTCGCTTTTAAAGGGGTGAGAAAGAGGTAGAGGAGGCTGAGTCAACAGGTGCTTAATATGTGTTTCTTCCCCAGGAGCCAAGAAGAAATGCAGACCTGGATCAACAAGATTAACTGTGTGGCCGCCGTCTTCTCTGCACCGCCATTTCCAGCGGCAATTGGCTCTCAGAAGAAGTTCAGTCGCCCACTCCTGCCAGCCACCACAACAAAGCTATCTCAGGTGAGCTGTTTTTATATAGAGGGTAGGTAATGGTGATTTCTCTGGCTGGGTGGAGACTGGACTGTGGTCCTTGGCATTGTTTTGTGGCTGGCGCCACCAGCAATTCTCCGGGG